TACAATCCAAATAATAAAAATAAAAATATTAGCAAAAACCAGGCTGTGTGCATAAAACCAAATAAAAGTCAATTCAAATCAAGTGCTACAGTCGTTTATTTATCAAATGGCCGCAGTCCACACAGAAATGCAATACTATGTCATGATCAGTTAAATTTAAATGCAAAAATGTCATTGAAACTCAATAACTAAGTAATAAAAAAAGTTATATATGAAAAGTAAGGTTTGAAAATTTAAAAAAAAAATAAAGAGAATAAGAGAGGAAAAAAAAAACTAATAATGTAGAATTAGTTCTCGGAACGGTTACCTTACACTTTCGTAACCAGAACTACCAATAAGTTGACATTAATTCAACAGGTTACGTCTAGTTAAGTTACCTATTTTAATAATTCATTTACCACACTAGGGCCAGCAATGAATTATTCCCTGAAATACCGAGGTGATCACCGGGTGTACAAATAGGGACAGAATGTAAATAAACAATAACAATCAGGATAACTAAAACTAGTACGATACCAAAATTTTCCAGATGATGGTGGTTCATTCAATTCACCAGATTAGTCCTGGCTACTGGTTGTGGTTAACTTGATCGATGACTTGAGCAACCGTCCGATTACTTGGGCTGGTGTCTGTTAGCCTTTTGGTTCAATTTCGGTTACAATTGAACGTCTATTGTTATAACCTTGATGGTAAAGTACAACCTCCTAAGAAAAACCTCGTGAAAGAACAACCCTCGTGAAAGAACAACCCTCGTGAAAGAACCCTAAGAGAAAAAATTGTTATACACACTGTATTTGTAATTGTACCAATAGCGAAGCACTTCATGAATAAATTGAATCAATAAAAAAAAATGAAACTATAATGATTAGTTTCTAATAGCAAATTTACTTGATAAAAGACTATAGCTCTTGAAAATTATTTTAATAGAAAAATTGAACATTAAGGTATTAATTAATTAAATCAGATGAAATCATAATAAGGCTTTGATAGCAATTGAGAAAAATGTGTCTTGAGTTTGCAAAAATTGTTATAAGGTTATGTTTTTTTTTTTTTACCTGATGGAATTAGGGTTTGTCTGCCTCGAGAATCTCCGGGAATCTGGATTGAGGTCTGGATTGAATATCCTGGAGTAGGTGAGATTATTCTCTACTCCTTATGGCAGCTTTCAACTAATAATTGAATGGAAAAAGTCAGAAACTTCTATTGGAAAAAAACGTGCAAGCAACTTACCACAACGACTGTTTTTTTTAAATCCGATAACATCGGCGAAAATTATGGCACTTTACGAAAGTAAAACACAACGCAAGATAACTCAGTGTGCCATAAATTCAATTCAGAAGAAAATCAGGCCCAAAATCCCTTTTTAAGGTGAAGAAAAAAAAAAAATTCTTCTGGAGGACTTGTTTCTTCCAAAACAGTCAACGTGAAAGAGAAAGTGCTGCACATTCAATCAATAAGCTAACCTCACCTAAAGGACTTAGAGATGATTCAGAATAACGACAAACATCAACAATTAATCGATAGAATTCCCACTTACCAAAAATTGCACACCACAACATAATCCGAGAAAAACGACAACGGCTAATGAATTATGATATTAACAACAAATAATCATCCCATAAAACAATCAAAACTTGAAGAATACAAAATAGAGTAAATGTTCCGTTTTCAAAATTAGAGGGCTCAAAGAAGAATCGACGATACTGAAAACATTACTAATCTACCGCTGGTTGACAGAAATTTTTAACAATCAAAAGTCAAAGAAACGAAATCAAAGGGTGCGGTGCGTTCAAGATGTCTCAAAGAACATCGAACCAATGCGCAACCCGGGGTTCGCTAGAATTTCCGCCGAGATCAATAGCGCTCCATAACCGAACAGTCAGTACGAACGGTACACCCACTTGAAAACGGGTCATCATGATTACGGAACACAACCCACGAAATATTTTTGACACATGAATTATTTTTGTTATGAAACAGATGATCGAATTTAAAATCGAAATCAAAATATTGCTTTGTTTTGATTTAGAATTGAATTAAAATATGGATTAAAATGAGGAAAAACCATTACAGCAAATAGAATTTGACTATTGAAAATTATGAAATTTGAAGGATCTACAACCGTTGAGATTATTAATGAAATTTTATAGAGAAAATGTTGACAAATTTAAGGAAATCTTGAATATAAAATTGAAAGTAGGTAAGAATCATTTATGCAATTTTGGCCTGTTACAACTAACTACGACTCTCATGGCAGTGAACGTGTTAATTGCATTTTAACCAGTTCAACCAATTAGACGAGTACACCCAAAAGATCATATTCACTTTACAATGAAAACACAATGAAAACCCACGTGGAATAAAAGAGAATGGATAAAAATCCACTAGAATTATTTTAAGTGTTTACAAATTATAATAATTTAAATTAAGGTTGTGTCAAAAAGAAAAAACTGTTAGTTAGGTCATCAAATTGATTATTTCAGAAACAGAAGTTAGAGAAAGACAGAAATATATCCATTTGCTAAAAGTGAGATAAATATAATTTCTTTCAATGAAAATACAAATGACTGTCAATTAAAATCATATTTTGAAAAATAAATCCATCAGGTACTAGATGGCAGTACTGGTAAATGAATAAAAGATATTTGCATTTCACGCACATGATGGATAGATGGCAGTACTTGTACTATTTTGAACTTTGTGGATATTTTAGATTATTAGGAATTATTATTTTGCTGATTCTGAAATGGAAAAAATACAACTTTATAATGAAAATAAGAAGAGATGGAACATGTTACGTGAATGATAAATTTATCGTAACAACGTAGAGTGGCAAAAGATATCGTAAGCATCCAGAACTATTACCTGAACCTCAAAGTACAAATTCGGAGCGTTGAGGGCTATTTTTCTTGGTTTTAAGTTGTGCTCGCGAAGCAAAAGATGTCGCGAGCATTTGGCTGTCAGATGCCTTTTCGATTGTCAAATTGACAGTGCAAAATTGCTTGAATTACTACACAATTTCAATGTGAAAATCTACACATTCAAAAATTGGTCTGTAACAACCCAGTAAACAAATTAAGTCGGTAATTGAATATATGTATAGTATTTTTAATACCTATTTAGGAGTACTTGCCGTTTTAGTGACAAAACGTATGTCGCTTCTTGACACACAAATAAAATTAGGTTAGGAATTTCCTATTTGTAGATGAAATTGACATATTAGCAATCGAAGTTCGTTTTTGTTGGTAATTTTTTGTTTCATCTGATTCGTGATTAATAAATAAGGATGGGGTTATTCTAAATGGGTATTACAAATACTATACATAGATATTAATTAGCTAATAACGCTAAACGATAGGGGGCGTAAAGAAAAGTTAAAAATGAGTAACGGTAGTTAAGATGGCACGTTAAAGACACCCATAGGTAAGTAATTATACAAGCCGGGACGGAATTCTTGTAAAGCCTCGGAAGTTTTCACAAATTTGAGCTTTGGAGGTACCAAACTGGCTGGAGACAACCAAATAATGGTTGGGGATCAACTTCTTACAAGACACAAACTTTCCTTGAAGAGGGGGCTCAGATTTACTCTGAGTTTCAGGACAGCGTGGTGTTAAATTTGTCAATTTTCACTTGTAGAAGTGCAGTCACGGATTTTCTGTCCTGCCGAATGTGCCCTGAATGAATTAGGGGGATATAAGGACTCATTCATCAGAGAGAAAAAGAAATTTACATACCTGAACGGCCGATAGTAACCTCACTTTCAAAATTCAACAATCAGTTTATTTTCTAGGAAACTTTCAGGTAGACACGAGCGAGCACTCTTCTGGGTAGTTATTCGGTAAAAATATTGACTCGATGGCCAAAAATAAAGGTAAAGTTTTAGGATTTTTAATCACTTTCAAAAATCTGGACGACCTGTTCGGCCCCAAAACAAAAGAGAAAAGGGCAAGTCAAAAGTACCCAAATTGGTTCTGTCTTTTCTTTCTTTGTCTGTCAAGCTTGTCAAAATCATAAAAATGGCAGCGCTACAGGTGGCTCAGAAACAACAGAATTCTCCATATTAGGTTAGGAAAACTAGTCAGAAGAATCATAGATGTCGCTAGGTGTACGAAATAGTACTTTTACATGAGTTCAAACTATATAAAAATAATTCAGAACAATAAATGTATTTTTGTGAAATTTCAAATGTTACAAGCTTTGGGGATGACATCGTTCTCAGGTCCATGATGCCAGGGAAATGCTATCTACTGAGTTAAATGAGGTATTCCAATTTAGCAAACAGGTCAAATCTTGAGCTAGTCAGTTCTCATAAATACTTGGGACAAGAGAAGCGGGAAGGTAGAGACAACCAGACGAATAGTTTTGCCTTGGGCTGCCTCCGGAAAACAGCGCAGCATCTTGCAGTTCATGAAATTTTCGGTTAGACCGAAAGTGACGCAACGCGATCTACTCAATATACTGGTAAAAAGGCATATTAACGTGTAATTTAGGCCTGTACCAAAATTTAAGATAAAAATCTCAACGATACCTGAATCCTATAGAGGTGAGCGTGAGCGTTTTCTGGCTAATTCAAATTTATTGTTTATTGTTTCTTTTTTGTTCATCACGCCGCACTGAGTGTTGAGTTTAAGACAGGAGACGTTCTTAAATTATATTTGTGCTATGTATTATGTTATCACATTAGACCATATTTAGCAAATTATCCAGTTCACAGCAAACAATTTCCTAGAAAAGAAAGTCAATAAAATTCAACCCTGTTCTATTTTTAAAGTATTACAAGTTTAGTGTGTTTGGTTGATGTACGAAAAAAGTATTTTATCCCTCTCTATATTATCTCAGGGCGTGTCCAATAGTATCTAGGTTATAGGGGCTAATTCCCATCGGTCAGAATAAAAAATTTAGTTTTAGAGCGAACGCAATGTTGTCTGGTTATATTGATTAAATGCCAGAGTTCTTTTGACAAATTACTTTTAAACAATACATTCTGTTTTTTGTTTCAGAATTTTCTCCGTCCATTCCGTGAACACCACATCGATCCCACATCGATAACTCGTCACGATTTTATCGAAACAAACGGCGATAATTTCATGGTAACCATTCCGTTCCTAGGCAAAATGCTCTGGGATTTTTGGGTACTCTCCGAGGATGACGTACAAAAAAAATTCACCTGGAACTGTTACGTATTTCTCTTGGCCATTTTCGTCGCTATGACTAATCAGATTCATAAATGGTCTCATACCTATTTCGGTTTGCCAGGTTGGGTGGTATTCCTGCAAGAACACCACATAATTCTACCAAGACGTCACCACAGGATACATCATGTGGCGCCACACGAGACCTACTTTTGTATTACCACAGGATGGTTGAATTGGCCAATGGAAAAGTTGCATTTTTGGAGCGCTTTCGAATGCCTCATCGAAGCTGTAACTGGATGCAAACCTAGAGCCGATGATCTCAAATGGGCTGAAAAACGGAAATAGTGAATGATGTGCATAATGTGTATTTAGTAAATTTTAGTATATTTACGGGTCCAAATCCAAATATTAGTATGCAAATTTAACATTATTTTACCAAAGGTATTTAACTATCAGACAACAGAATAGACGAAACAGGTGTAAATGGTTTTTGTAAAAAAGAACTAATCGGTGATGATTTAGCAGAAGCTATTGAAGAGATTCCAGAAATTGAAATAATAGCTTTTGAAAGGGTTGATAAAATTCTGGAGCCTGACATAGTTTAGGAGACTTCTCAAAACAACAGAAGTTGCGAAAAAAGGTAGAACTTATTGAACCAGTATTTGAGTTAAGAAGACAACCATTTAAAAATTATGTAAGGGATATATTATTAACCCTTTAAAAAGAGAAAAGAGCTCTAGATCATTCCAGCAAAAGTATAAAAATAAAAAGAACATATTATGGATAAATAGGTAGAGTTTACTGAAACATGAGTTGTAAGTTGTTCATAGGTTTTTCAGGAGTGGAAACATCTACATTAGCGGACAAAACAACTGTTGAAATAGGCGTAACAGAGAAATGAGTAACTAATAAAATTCTAAGAGTTGCAGAAGACGAGTGAAAACTGAAATAAGTTATTTTAGAAAAAAAAAAGATAATACAAAGAAGATTTAACCTAAAACAAAATGATAAAGCTTGGAGCAATCATGTACCCTTGACTTGAAACAGACTAAAACTAACCACAAATGTAATTATTGTAAACAAATCGATCAAAAATATATTTACACCTGTTTTCTGTTCTGCCTATAGAAAAAAAGAACTACCTACGTGTGTGAGTGATTTTATTTACAAGTGAATGAGAGATGTTTATCAATTAATTGAACTATAGTTATTTGGTTTATACAGCTTTACATACCTACAAAGTTATTCTGAGCTTTGAGCAAAGAACTGAAATTTTTATATTAAATTTTAAAAAAAGTATCGAGCATTTCTCAGAGTAGGTATACATATACGTTATGGTACATAATTCGAAAAAAATCCAATTGTAAATAACATTATTCAGTCTAGACTTCAAGACTTCTGTCAAAAAGTGCCTTCATGATAATCAATGATTTATCGATTTACAAATTTGATAAAAAAAAGCAGGTATAGAGAAATTAATAAAATAATGGATGCACGTCATGAATGACGTCGAAATTATTGCCAATTGCAGTTTGTAAGAAATTAAAATTCGTTTTAAACTCAGAGCGTATTTTCTCTTTTGTTTAACCCTAGTTAAAAAGAGATAGAATGCTATCGGATCATATAAGCGAATCTGCCGATAAAATGGGATTTAGGTTGGCACTCGTGGGTAATATTGCCAAATGTTGCCTTCTGCAAATTTTCGGTTATTGATTTTAATAATTTAAGGTTTGTTGTCAGTTTTTAACGAGTCGGGGATTGATAGTTGGGATATAAAATTGCATTAAGGGAATTTTGTTTTTTTGGTATTAGTGATTCTTATCAATTTATTATTGAAAATGTAACCTGGGAAAATGAAAAACTTTACTAGACACGGTATGTCAAAGTAAAACGAAGTTGATGCGGCAACATTGCAACATGCTAACGTCATAAATATTGATGAAGTGCATCCATTATTTTATTAATTTCCCTATACCTACTCACAAACGCATGAAAATATACTAGGTGAATCTGAAACTGGAGATATTTTTGTGAAAATAGAGAGATTTAGCCCAATTTTCTCAACATTTGTTAAAAAAGCTTGTTTGGTATTAAAACTTATCCTCTGATTTGATTCTCTTTTCAGACACACCTTGTATTTTCCTAGAGAGAGCTATTTAAAATAAGGAACTCTTAAAAAAATGATATTAAAAGTCAATCTTTGTTTGTGATAATATGTTTAATTTAGCGTATAGTTAGTGTTAAATATAGTTTAACAATGTCTTATTGTTGTCAAATTTTTAATTATAAATAATTTTTCAATTATAATGCACAAAACTTTGCCCAAAATATTTATTGACAATCAACTCATTTGCTTTACGCTCTTGCCTCTTGTTTATGCAGAATTAGAATTGCAAATATTCGAGGTCTGCTTTCACAGAAATCACAAAACACACTCAGGGCCAGAGGGATTCTGATCTGTGTGATCGCGGTGAAATATGCCTCAGCGAAATTGGCTCTTTTTGCGTCAGAATTAAGGCCGCGTTAATGGCCGCCATGTTTAAATTTAGTTTTTGAAAATGACGACTGCGTCACTCTACACATACGGTTCAATATTTTATTATTTGTCCAAAACAAAATCTGTTTGTCGGTGAAACACTTAGTGACAGAGAAAGACAAATATACAATTATGATGCTCCCAATGTAGCTTTTTTGCTGTGGCGCCATCTACTTGAAATTGCTTGAACTGTTTTCACCTTGAAAATTCGTTTTAAGGTCATCTCAAAAAATCCGCAAAAATTTCCAAAATCCTTTGGCATAAACATGATTTGATATATTATCTACAATCTCTACAATTAGCTTTTTTGCTTTTTTTAGTTTTTCGTGGTTATCAATAAAATATGCTTTTCACGGATCCAATCTTGATAAACATGCACATATGCAACCACCAACACATTTAATTGTTTTGGTGGTTGCGAACATGATTTTTGAATTTTTAAAAAAAGGCTGAATGTTGAAAAACCAAATAAGGAATTGTAGATAAGCGATCAAATAATGTTTATGCCAAATTTGAGCCAATTCTGATGTGCCGTTTTTTTAAAGACCTTAAAACAAGTTTCGAAAAATCAACCAATCACAGTTTAAACATGGCGGTCATTAACGCAGCCTTAAGATTTGAAGAAAGCGCTTTATGTCATTCTGGAGCCAAACAAGTTTGTCACAAGAAGGGAAAAATAGTAGATTATACCACGAGTCAATAATGATAGCTATTATTCCCGAGGATTATTACGAACTGAGCCGCGTTAGCGGCGAGGGAGTAACATTCCGAGGGAATAATAGCCATTATTGCGAGTAGTATACTCTACTTTATTTACGACAAATTAATTTATTTGAGATTTTCAATGAACAAATTTCATCCGTCTCATAATTTTCAATACAAATCCACAAGCACTACACGTTTGACACTGACACTTTTGTGGAATAATGACCATTAATCCCGCTACTCGTCATTAATCCCTGGAGGAATAACATATGTCATTATACTGCCAAGATCACAAATATAATACGCACATTATACATTAGTCGTAAATAAAATTAATAAAATTTATTTCACTTTTTGCTACTAGTAGGTAGTATCAAAATGTAGAAGTTTTGCGATAATTATTCGCATATGAGTATGTGGCCTTGAATTTTTGCATTTTGCAACTTTTATTGTAATTTTTTAACACGGAATAAATTGTTTAAAAAATATAGGTACTTATGGGGAATATTTAAAAAAATTTGATTGTAGTTTTTGTTTACCTAGTACCTACCCTTGAAATTGGAGCTATATTTGGTCACGTCGCATCGACTCCTGAGACTCTAATATTACTAACTTTCAATAATGTTAGCTTGCAGTACCTTCTTATTGTGAACAAACTTATGTAAAGCACAGATTAACCCCTGTGATCTAAAGTGTATTTTTTCCCAAGATGGATTTCGACATTGAAAACTTTAAAACACAAACAATAACGCTTGGCCCTGATTGGTCGCAAAATGCCGTGTCACTGCAGGTTGTATTGTCTGGCTAGCCAAACGGCGAACTGCAATAGAAAAAAAAATCCGGCAACAATGCGTAATGATGGATGTGGAGAGGCGTGATTATTCAGAGGCATGATTATATTGGTTTGAGCTTAAGGTTAGAGCCTGAACGACAGCACAGTGGCGTGGTTATTGGCGAAACTTAAAAAAAAATCTAATAATTTTATTGGTTCATTTCCTTGGTGTTTTCGGTGCCACTGAATCCAATACATGGCTGTCATCAAGCGCTGTCAGTTGAGGTGTCACTGAATATTCTTAGGTGACGCCCCACTTTTCTTCCCCCTTTCGTCTCTATCAACTTACCACTTGCCAGACTATAATCAGTTTTACAATGCATATCCTGCAAATGGGATCTTGCGACCAATGAACGGCATTGTTTATGTTTCAAAGTTGACAGTGTCAAAATCTATCTTGGGAAAAAATAGAGCATAAAACCATATACGTTAGGTTTGAATTTTAGAAGTGAGTTTAGAGGGACTCTTTTCAGATCGGTAAGATGAGTAAAGAGTGAGGATTGACTTTAGCTTGTTCACTACAGTGGCGTGCAGACTAGCAGACCCACCCCTGCAGGCCCCTCCGGGTCGATAAAAAAAAAAAACTCAATACACAATACGCAATTCCGATCACTTTAAATAGATAGGGGCTCCATGAACAATTTCTGCAGGGGGTACCAGAAAAATGTTCCACGCTACTCGTTCACTGCCGTTGTTGGGGAAAAACATAAACAGGATTGATCTTCATATCATAGATATGTTGTTACCCGTCAAACCGATTGAAAAGTAAATAGTAAAATTTAAGGAAGTGACTGAAGTGAAACAGTGAATGGGTAACTAAAACAAAAAGAAAATAGAAAGATAGGGTTGGTCGGTGGCTAAAATCTAGAAACGGGACTTCGCGTGAAGGGTTGCCGACTAGCTTCCAATGCGGAGAGGGGTGTGGATCAATTAAATAATTAAATATAGAGCGCCACCTGCTTTTCCCTGCAGTACACGAAGTCAACCGATATAACGAAAGCAGGAAACTTCTACGGGCCTATATAGCAGCACAACCTGAAATATAACAATAAACAAGAAGAAAGGACAAAAGTGAAACGCTTTGCTACAATCAGGTACGGGTTTTTAATTAGAACCAGAACAGATTTGACTCTAGAGTAGGTTCGGAGTGGGTTTTCCGAACGCCTTGGAGCACTGAAAATTATTAACACTAGAACCAGAGAAAGAACAAATTAAATCGACTAGGAGTATAGTCTGGCAAGTGGTAAGTTGATAGAGACGAAAGGGGGAAGAAAAGTGGGGCGTCACCTAAGAATATTCAGTGACACCTCAACTGACAGCGCTTGATGACAGCCATGTCTTTGGATTCAGTGGCACCGAAAACACCAAGGAAATGAACCTTAGATTATATATAGTTAGCACTAAAAGATGAGTAATCAACTCCCAAATATGGTACAAAGATCTCTCTCCAAATATTTTGATTTTGTCTCTCTTACTTTGTTTACGCTGGTTTTCTATAGTACGATTTCCAAAAAACCGTTTAGATTTTGGATCTTTAGACATCTCTCTCTAAAGCAATATATAAACGAAAAGAACACTATACAAGTCTAGCTAAACAGAGTATATTGTTTGGGTGGTCCCCTATAGAAACCGATTTTCGTACCAGCGTAAATGTCAATATATATTATTTTGTGTTTATTTTATCGACTTTTTTGGGTGTTTCACTGCTTTAAAGTGGAATTGTTTGAAAATTTATCATTTACATGTTTATACATTTCGTGAAAGTTTCTTATTCAGGATTCAAAATGACTAATAAGTGTGCAGTGTGTCAGAAAAGAGGAAAACCAGCGGATTGTTTATCATTTCACCCGTTAGTAAACAAAACCACAAAACTTGAAGGCACATTGAAGGGGAAAAAAAAACAGTGTCGGAGGTGCATGTAGGCCACAAAAATACAACATGGTACATATTTTAATTTAGTATTTTTATTTAACACTATTTTTTATTATTCCGGATCAGTGGCGGCTGGCCCTAAGGGGCCAAGGGGCCGTGGCACTGGCGCAAAATATGTCGGTCCTTTTAAAATATTTTTTTTTTTTTAGTTCAATAGTTATTACAATCGTCAGATCAAATTACTTATCATTTTATAATTTGATCCCGACAGAAAAAATTCTTTCGTTATTATTCCTAAATTTCCTAGACAATAATTTAAGCGACTGACAAAACTAAACTCGCTGGACTATCCGTCCGAGCCCATCTCACAACGGCCCCGCTGCAACACGGCAATTAGAGGTAAAATCAGCACTAAAGACTACGGTGACGACATAAAAAGCTGCGCGAAGCGGGTCGGATCTCTCTCCCTCATCTATCTCTCGCTGTCTGCCGTGACCTCGGCCGTGAGCTGAAGCCAGCAGCGGGGTATCTTTTCAGACAAAACTTGGATACAAAATAAACCAAATAAATATGCCTGCTGGTCGTACGACAATGAACCACGTGCTTGGCGTTCGGCAGCAGCACCGATCGATACGATAGCTCGGTTAGTCTTCAAAATTGGGTTTGTGCGCAAATGACGACACCGTACTCTTTAGTCTTGACGCGGACTCTACGTTGGAGAAGGTCACGCCGCGCTCCCATTCGAAGAAGAAATGAAATTATTAACTCTTATGTCGATATTTATTAGTTTTTTTTCGTTATTTTCCATCCGCCGTTCTAAATTACGCATTTTTTTATCATTCTCTAGATCTTTGCTTATATAGATGTTTCCAATATCATCCATTTTTTTATCTGTGCTCTTAAATCTTTCGTTTATACGATTTTCTAATTCATCTAATAGAGATTTCATTTGCTCATGAACAAACCGAATGTTGTCAAGAACAAACTCTTGGGTGCTAACGTCATTATCAAGTATCGGTTTTGCAACATTTGATAGACGCTTTCCTTCAATATCATAGTGACCATCAGAAGTTAACTTGAATCCGTTTCCCTGGGCACCACGTAAGAACTGATGTTTATCGGATACTCTCTGACGACCAAATTTATCTAAAGTGTTGTTAACACGTCCCATTTTTAGATAGAACTAACCTAGTAATTATCAATCATTGGCTTATAAGGGAAACTAACCAAAAGTAAAGGCTGAAAACAAAAAGCGAAACAATATGTAGGTATAAAGATTTATTATTACATTAGCACAATTCACTAGCCCTAATTATTCACAACTTTCTACTTCTAGAGTAATTTCAACTTGTTCATTTCTTCAATCATCATCACCATCACTGGGGCCGCCTTCCGGTACTATCTCATATTTTGCTACCAATTCACTTGGCATATGTGGTATTTCGATGAGATATGTTTTCAGACCTTCCTCGATCATTCGACTACAGAATTCATCAAGACCAAAGGAACCATACAAATATCTTCGGCACAAGTTTGCTCTGGCATTGAAGTTGATGGCATCTTGAACATATTTCGAATAATTCTGACCATTTGCATGAACATCCGTGTTGAAATATTCGAAATGTAATATTTTCTGGGCCATGTCTCCTAGTTTGCGCGTCAGCCAGATCACGTAGAAATCCAATTCTTCATTAACACTTGGTGTGTTATTGCTGATGTCACACATCTTTAGAAATATTTGAAATATGAATGTATCCTTATATGTACAAATTACATTACCCTAAAACTCATTACATTTTTCGAAAACTATTGATTAATAATATGCTGTCCACCCCCATAATATAAAATCTATAATTCCAAAGACCCGAAATTTAAAAGAGACTTAGAGTTACCCCCATATGAATGCGAACTTTGCCCCAAATATGATAACGTTTATTTTTCAGAAGAAGAATTCATAATTTCGACGGTGTTCTCCGGTAACATTTCGGCTACACGATTTGGCAAAAATGTTTCAAAAGTCACATCTTCTGTTTTATCATACAATGTGGCAAGAACAGTTTTACCAAACCGTGTTACCATCGGCACCAGTTTCCTAATTATGTAAACTTCGTCCACCTTCAAAGAAGAAACTTTTCTTCTTTCGAGAAAATTAACATCTTTGTTGAGCATATTATTAATTTCAACCAAGGTATCTTTTGAAATACTCATAATTTATGAAAAATGTAACAGATTATACGGTACCTTGAATATGCACTTTCAGAATACTTCACTAACACAATATTTCTAGTTAACTTTCAAGTGAGCGAGGTCGTAATACAAACGATGCCCGTGTGACTATAATAACTTTCCTCGTTCCGAAGAGATTTTATAAGTATCTTGGGGTCGTCTGACAGAGAAAGGTTGAGATAACATTATGTGTGGGGGGGGGGGGCTAACATCTGAAAATTCAAGGCCAACTATGTTTGAGAAGTGGGGGGTGGGTTCGAGTTTGTGTGGTTCCAACAAGATCTGTTGCGGTTTTTTTCTCAATAGAAATACAATCACTCCAATCGTGACCCTTTTAGTAAAGAACAATCCTGACATTATTTCCAAATGGTCATTTTAAACTGAAAAAAAAAATTAAAAAGGAAAACCTATTTTTGGCTCTGCACTGAAAAACAAAGAATCTTTTTAACGAAATGAATATGACTTTCACTCAAAAGATTCTAGCTATTGAAGAACCAAGAGCGATGTTTCTTGATCCAAAGCATTAACCCTCTTCCTATAGATTCTCTAAAA